TTTATTGTAAAGGCCTCATACGCATTCAATAAGCCACTTCGACGCTTAAGGGAGACGAGTGCGCGAGCGCATCCCTCAGACGGGAACGATTAACGCCCTATAACCAGAATTTATCATTTGTTAAGAACAGCAACGGTGTATGGTACACTATGCCTAAGCCTAGTGGTACCATGATCCTTTGTTGAGCTGTACCTCTTGGAAAATACGCCCTTCCTCGACAAATTGTTGCTTGAAATACAAAAAGACTCACTTGACGATATTGCACGTAATTCTTCCCTTTGCTCATCGCTAAAAAACAAGTCTAGATTTTCTGAATGCCCAGTATGATCCATACAACCTATTGCCTCCACAGTACCATCACTTCTTGGACGACACTGAAACTGATCTACTTCAGCCAAAATGGAACGCTTTTCACAGCTGTCTAAAATGATACTTATTTATTGCTCGAAGCCATAATTAGTGTACCTTTATAAAAGCTGTGCAGCGATTTTCAGGGGTTTTAGTCCTTTTATGCTGAGATTCCTGATCGTCTTTCACCATAAAAAATGTAGCACATACATACTCCACCGTTTGCAGTTCGCCCGTGCAACGATAACAAAAAGTGGCACACGTCTTCTTTCCAACATCTGATTTCCATTTCTGAACCGCTTAGTAAGTAACGAAGCCTCCAAATAGAACTGGATTTTTTCTGGGTTGGCTCCAGGGTTTTCCGGTGTTCAAGGAGCTGATTCACGCGCATCGGATTTGCACTCTTACCGGAATGATAGCCAACACTTGAAGGAGCAGGCCGCCCACACAATTAACTTCATCTTATCGATGGGGCAAAACGATGTGGCAGTAATGTTGTATTCTGTTTTTTCTTGAGAAGGGTGTATAAGCTTGACCGGAAAATCATGAATTTTTCCACTATAAACACAGAAGCTTTCAAGGTGGTATGATGGTGAAGGACCGAGTGATTACAATTTATCAAAGCTGATAAGGAAGTCAGGAAGGAAAAGGATTTATTGCACGTAGACAGGAGACGAGCATTTACACAGATGAGTGCTAAGAAGTGTAAACCCGTGGAAGGGTGCTAGAATGGTTAGTTGTTGACAAAACTTGGTAAATAATGTTACAAAAAAGGCCGAGAACGGCAAGCGAAATCACGAAAATGACTCACCAAGAACTCAGCCATATTGTCGAACGATGCGCTAATGATTTTAAACTGTTGTCCAGATTCCTTAGAATGTATCCTAGCACAGTGATTGACGAGATCCTCGTTACTGTTGAAACGGCGACTGCACCCGTCAAATATGCACATGAATGCACTCCCGGTTGAGGAAGTGGATGGAATCTTATCGGCGTGGTGTTCGAGTACATGAGTATGATTATCTTGCTTTCTTCCAAAATTCTTTTGGCAGTACTCACATTTGAATGTGAGTTCAGGGACCGGGTTGGTAAGTTCAACGCCAAGGTGTAGAAGGAGGACCTGACGCTCTCTATTTGTGTAGTTGTGGACGAAAACAGCATGTTCGCCTATGTGCTCCCTTTTGAAAAATTTGTAACATTCTGGACACATGACATTGCCAAAATCCATCTCGAGCCGTAGAGGCTGAAATAAACGTCATTACATGCAATCATCTAGGGATACTACAGAAAATAGATCCAGTGCACAATGAGTCACACATAGAAGCTAACGGCTACTCCAGCCAGCGACACAAGAAACCACCATAACTTAGAGCAGATGTCTGTCAGGAACTCTTATGGACAACTTTGGAGACAGCGTAAAACTTAGCGAAAAAAACCTGACTGATGCGAGTGGGTAAAACAGGTGGCTAA